CAGAAACAAAAATAAAAATCGAACCGCGTTACAGTCACAGTGATAATAATAGACAGATAGACAGACGAAAACAGACAGATGTCTTGTTTTGCACTTGCTCGGAATGAGCTTAGGAAAAATCGCGAAGGAAAAGTACATAAGACGACAATTTCGTATTTCAGGGGAAAAGTTTCGTATATTTTAATATGGAGCAAGGTTTCTAAAATATTCTAAGAAGTATTTTACTGATCTTGATGGCCAAGATATTACTTTCGTAGTGACATCTATTGATGGAAAACGAAAGCGCGAATAACTACTACTACTTTCAGTTCATCCATCGCATAACAACAAATAAAAAGAAAAGAAAAACATAAATACAGTACAAAGTCCTAATCAGGACTCGTCAGATCAATAGACTGCAATAACAATTCTAAAGGCTCATGGTATTTTATGCAACAAAAAAGTGCATTAATACAAAAACAGTGATTTTTTTTGTCACCCCTTCAAATTTGGTACACGGTGCAGGCCGCTCATCCGTCTTCCTACACCACTTCATTACTCTCTTAAAATTAATAAATATACACACAAATATATTAGTAAGTTAACTTTTATTTGGGAAAGTGCAGAATCACCCACTGCTTGGCGAGTTTTTAAAAATTGCATATATTCGTTATCCATCTGCACATCGACCTATTTTCACTTAAAAAAAAAACCGAGAATTGAACCAAAATGGCATCGCGCACTCCCTTGATTTTATCCATGTAAACATCGACTTATTTTCACTTAAAAAGTAAAAAGAAAATTGACAAAATCCATTCCTTCTTACTCTTGTAAAAAGCGCTAAACAAAGAGGTGAGCGATTCTGTTTTCTTTACCCCTTTTATCTTATGCATAATGATATATTTGAATAAAAATTGCGCACAAAACCATTTTATGCATCATTTTAAAAGTTTTAACATGAGGACAGTGGTGTAGCTAGGGTGGGGCAAGGAAGGGACATCTGTCACCGGGCGCAGCATCCAGGAGACGCAAAACCGATGTTACGAAATTTTAAAATGAAATGTTTTCCATTCTTGGCACACAGAAAGAAGCAGAAATTCTTTAGCTGTCCCAGAGCGCTCAAACCCTAGCTACGCGTCTGAATGAGGAACTTGCCGAAATGTAAACGTTAATTTACCATCTGGTTCCTTAAATGAGAAAAGTTTAGAAAGTTGTTTTACTGTAACTTTGGTTGCAGAGAAAACTTTTGCATTCGATTGTTTTAAAACGCTTGCAAGATAAAAATTATACAAAACAATGCCCTTTAAGTATTATTTTAAAAATGGTCGATTTATTTTAAGATCTCAAAATAAAATATTTCATTTTTATTATAATGTTGCATTATATTTTGTTTAACTTTATTATTATGCTTTATTTCATTGTTATATATCACTTTTTAATTATATATTTTAATTCATTTTAATTATGAATGTTTCTAATTATTGATTTAATTTAACTGAATATCGCATATCATTAATGAATTTATTATTTTAGAAAATTTTAGTAATTCTAGATCTGTTTCATTACAAAAGCTTTTTACTTTCTTGTATGAAGTAAAGGAAGTATTGAAATAGTGAAAATTTTCGAGTATCGTATTTAAACGAAAATATTCATTTTGATCGCTTTTGAATGCAATTTAACGATGTCTTTGAGTGACATCTATACGCAAGTACACAATAAAGGGCTCTTTTTCTCCAAATGAATTATAAAACTGATTTAAAATGGATTCAGAAGAAACCTTTTTCGTGGCATCTGTACGTAGGTACGTATTTCGCATAACTCAAAAACAAGTAGCCTCAGAACATTCAAATTTTGTATAATAGGACTGCTTATAACATGTGTGCATCTCTCTTTTTGGTTGCAATCGGCAACACTAAAAGTATATAAATATATATTCCCACTCTCTTACTTGGTACAGTCAAAAGTCGTTAATCCGGACCTCAAAGCTACAAACTTTCAACGCATAATAAGTTCACGCATGCGCATATGCGTGTATGCATGCGCGTTTAATGTATAACGGACGGTATAAGCTGAGCTAAAATTATCAAATTATCTATTTCAGTTAATGTTGCAGATTGCGTTGTTCCTTAATCTTTGAATTGGATCCGGCTTATTATTTTTTGCAGACTGTTAGAGCAATTTTATAAAAGTAAGCTTGAACTTTCGATTATGTCAAATAGAATTTCCAATGCTAGATACTGCCAAAGGATCTACAAAGCGAAAGCATGTTTCGATGTCCATCAAACAAAAAGTGGAATTGCTGCAAAAAATGGATAAAGGCATGTCCTTTGTTTCTCTAACCATTCCGAAATCTGATTATCAATTTCACGCTGCTCTGCAGGGGAGGGGAAACATCGCGGCGCGCAATCGAACTGGAAGTTGATCTGTAAGCACTACCCTTATCTTCAGGGCAGATGTTTTTATTTTATTCTGCTTATAGTTCATTACTAAATGTAGTATTTCATTTTGATGTACTCTGTCTTTCTCTGGTTGCAATTTTCTAATTTCGACTATGCGTAATGTATGCTTTACGCATGCGCGCATTGAAAGAAATGTTTAATAAAGTAAACAAATAAATATTAAGCTTTTTTTTGTAAATTTTGATACCCTTTAGATCATAATTGTTCTTTATTTCATAAATTACGGTTTCATATTTTTAATTTTATAATATCTGCATGCCATCTTACCAGATTTAAACTGAAGATCTATAATCCGGAATCACCAAAGTCCTGATGAGTCCAGATTAAAGACTTTTGACTGTATTTCTTTGTTATAGTGTCTCCCAAGATTGAATCATCAGTCAACCGAGATATCTTGACAAAATCTGGCTGTGTGTTTTTATAACTTGTTTTGTGATCATATACTGTACTGCAAATGGAAAGTCAAGAACAAAATGTTTCAGACGGCAATTTATCTTACCGAGATCTTGAGTCCCTAGTATTTAGTCAGAACTTCAGAATAGCTCTACTGAAGACCAATTTGGTGTAACAAAGACACTCTATAAAGTTCTTTAAGGTTAGTTCAAAGCAGATGTAGAGAAATGATACAAATCCTATGATGCTTATGACACTATATAAAGTTCATTAACATTCATTAAGCTAATGCTCAAAGAAGATGTAGAGAAATAATACAAATCCTATGATGTGTATGAACAAGGCATGTAGCCATGGCGGTTGCTCTGGGCACCCTAAAGTCGCTGAATTATGAAAAAATAAATAGCAATTTTAAAAACTTCTGAAGCATAAAACTATACATATATTTTTAATTAGAAACAAATTTTAAATTTTTCTACAAATCACAGAAAACATTTCATTTTTTGGCACAATTTTCACTGACTAGCAAGAATTTTATTTAAGCTCACTGATTTTGTTCTTAGTTATAAAGTCTGAAAATGAGAACTATGAGCAAGTAAGGCATAAATCCTATGAAGCCAGAAAATATGAACTTGGGAAGATGGGCATCTCTTTCAAGTCCATGAAGCTTAGGGTCAGAAAATATAATCACCTTTTTAATTCTTAGGGGTCCTAAAACTTTCTTTCCTCTTCATTATATTAGTATGTACTTCGTTATACTCTTGTACAAGTTAAAAGAATATTTTAGATGTAAAAGGGAAATCGTATTTGGCATAAGCTTCGGTTATTATTATTTCTTGCATTAAATCTTTCTTCAATTTGAATTATAAGCATAGCAAACCTATTAAAAGCTGCTTTTTGATAAAGAAGACAATGTATTTATTTTATAACCAAATTTCACAAAATATTTATTTCTCACTTATTCAAGAATCTTTTTTTCGGCCACAAATTTTTAAAGTATCCATTAATTTCAAATTTATGTATAGGGCCATAAAGCTTCTCTTAGGTTCACATATGTTTCATTTTAGCATTTTACAGCAAATCCATGCCCATTGTGGGAGTTGCATTATTAGCATTGCATGTATGTCAAAACTGCATTTCTTTAAGTTTCTGTGGGAAAAGTGAGTGAAGGTAGAGTTGAGATTAAGAAAATACATATAATTTATACAAACTTAAATATTATTGTAAATGAAAGGCAAAAACAAATACAAAAAAATTAACTGGACGGATTTCTGTTACTGCTTAGTAAATAGATACATGAAAGAATTAATTTTTTAAATAGCTGGTGATTTTTGCTTGAAATGTTCCAAGGAAAGGAACAAAGTTTTTCAATACCTCTCATAAAGTGTCTTCTTCTTTATTTGGCTCAATCTCCGTTACAAAAAATCAGATACTTGTGCCTTTTTTTAACAATTTGCTTCACTTATTGTTTCTAGAGTTTCTTCATCTTCTTCACTATTGTTGCTTTCACTGTCGGCTGGTGTAATAAAAGCATAGAGTTCTTCATTTACTTTCACAATCATCATTATTAACTAATTTTTTATATTCTAAACATGAAAATCTTTCACAGCCTATTACTTTTGCAATTCGTATGACTTCTTTGGCTTCATTTTCAATCAAGGGAAATCCTTTACAATTGTTGACATTTTGCTGATGCTGATGCAAGCATTCATTGATGATGAATTCATTTTTATCCATATGAGTTTAATAATTTCTAGACATCTTATGCTGAATTGCTTCTAAGATGCCATTAGCGCACCATGCTTTCCTCCATCTAGTATTTTAACTGCAGAGATGTAAACATGAATATAACATGGCTTTAAATGTTTTTATAATTTCTTGATCCATCAGTTGAGATTAAGGAGGTGGTGTTCGGTGGAAGGAATAAAACCTTTACATTTGGATGGATTGTTATGAGGACTTAACTACCGTGTTCTGAAACATTATCGAGAACTAAAAGAATTTTAAAACTCAAGTTATGCTATTCTAACTTGTATTTGACTTTTTAATGAATGAATTTTCAAACAAGTCATTACAGAGGTCTATCACAATGCAGTCGACATTCTGCAGTGTCCTGCATCTAATTGAAACAGTTAAGTTGGATAAATTAAAAAGACAATTAAGATCTAATATTTTTAAAACAACCCTTATATTTTATTTTATTACTTTTAAATTCCCCAACATTACATGGATGTAAGTATCCTGCATTCAGAAATAAATATTTAGTTGATGAAAGAAACCTCTGAATTCAGCAACAAAAATTTTTCTTCCAAAAATAATTTATTTGATACATAAGAATATTCAAATTTTTTCTAATTTTCTCTATTTGCACAAAAAATAAAATATATATATATATATATATATATATATATATATACAGTCACACAAGTCTACATACACCCATTAAAACAAAGATTTCTCAAACAATATTTGAATTTGAACTGTTGAATTATATTAATTGTCAAAACACTCATAAAAGTATTTCCCTCAAAATAACAGCTTAAATAAGGTAAACACAGAAATTATATACAGATTTGTTGAAACCAGCACATCATAAAAATTAGCATACAGTTTATTAGTTCTTCAATAAATTTGCATATGTGACTGTTAACTTCCCTTTTAGATTTATAAGGACACCTTAATCACACGTGAAAATCAAAATCTTGATTCTGTTTTCCAAAGGCGAAATGAAAGCACGAAAAGAAATTTCTTTAGATGTGACAAATCTTATTATACTTATTATAAAATTAAGACTAGAAATTTTTTTTATCGTGAAATAGCTAAAATTAATGGAAAAAATGATGCAACTGTACAGACTATAATTAAAAATTACAAGTAAAGGGAAACATGCTCAACAGATCTTGAAGTGGTTATCCAAAGAAAGTTAGTCAACAAGAATCAAGAACTCATGTAAAAAAGATCTAAAAGTAAGCGTTTAAAAATCAATGAACATCTTCAAAGGAAAAAGGAAAAAAGGTCAATCCAGAAACTATCTGTAGAATTCTTCGATCAGTGAGATTTAATGTCAAAGCTCCCAGTAGAAACCACACCAGATACTGACTTTCAAACAGTGAAGTGAAGTGTATTCAAAATAGTTCTGCCGCAGTAAATTTAGATAAAAAGGGTTCTACTGCACATTGTTTACATTTTATTTTTAACTCTTTATTCAAATATAACCATCACAACTCTAAACGTAAAATAATCAAATTGAAATAAAACCAACATTCTTTACACAGGATGTTATGATATACTAAATGGCTTAGAAACAAAAAAGCAAATGAAATTTTTCATTAACAAAGAAATTTTAAATTTCTGAACCGTTTTTACTTTCCAAAAAAATCAATGAACATCTTCAATGGCAAAAGGAAATCTCAGAACACTCAAAAATTTCTGTAATAAGTAAAAAATTGTTAACCAAATGAAGGGGAAACAGTATTTAAATTTTAAGACAAATTGAAATCATGCATAATACATGCATGCAAGTTCTTTTCAAAAATAATGTTTTAATAAAAACAACTTTATGCAAAGAAAAAGAATATTATTTACTTCCAGTAAAGTTCTAGTTGCTTTCACTAATTTTATTTAATAACATAAAACAATATTTGTTACACACAAAAACTGGATAATTAAATACAGGAAAAGTTTGATCTTTGTCCATTACAGAAAAGCAAATGCTAAACAATTTTTGGTTGCGATGTAGTATGCAATCTATTATTTTTAGTTAGTTGGCTTTATAACTACAGATGAAACTGAGTTGAGATTTGTAAATGCTTCCATTTTTTTTTAAGTATTTTGTAAAATATAAATTGCTAGTTAAAAAAAAATAAATACTTTTTAGAATTAAAAGACTTGTAATAAGACTACCTTGGAAAATTGTTCAACTATTCTATTTATTATTAAGTACCATTATTCAAAGATTCATTTAAAACTTACATTATTTTAAGGGAAAATGGTTCAAGTTTCCTATAAAACCATTTTGGAGCATTTTACAAGCAACTCTTCAAATTACACATATTCTTAAAAGCAGTAGATTGCACACTACATCATTACCCAATTTGTTATAGTAAGGTATACATGCCAAAGATGCCTATTAGCCATCATTAAATTAAATGCGTTATTTTATTATCTCTTCTAATAGTATTCGTTTTTAAAATTAGTATTGTCAATAAGAAGTTTTCAAAGTGTGTCATACTATTTTGTTCTCTGTTTACTGAAATAACTATTAACTGTTTATTATACTAAGCTTACTGAATAGAAATTATACTATTAACTTAAGAGTTAGGAAAAATTTTACCTACAATCAGAATAAGATGATAAAATTTCCAGATTTTTACTGTAAGATCAAGTTAGCATATATCTTCTATAGAAAAATGTTTGGCATATGTTGTTCTATAATATGAAAGATCCCAAAGCGATAAAAAACAACATTATGTTTTCCATAAAATATTTTCTTACATTTTTATTTCTTATTCACGCTTAATAACTATATTACAGTTTCATCTGAAAAGAAAGCAATTTTCATATTACATATAAAAGGCCTATCATCAAAAACTTATCAAGCCTGCTTTAACATCTCATTGAAATTATATTAATTTAAATATATTTTACACAAAAAATAATGAATAAACTTAAAGGGCATAATTTCTTTTTGTAAGAATTGATGGATTCATGTAATCGATTTGCATAGGAAATGAATCGCTCAGCAATATCCCTTGGTCCTTTGTATTCAGTTCGTCAACATAGCCAGCCCAGTAGATAACAAGCCCTGGCCCAAACCTATGAATAAATACAAATTGTTAAAAAAAAGTTCTTATTGCTTGTTCAGGTACCTACACAAAAAAAGTAATTTAAAAAACTCTCAATCGCAGATTAAGAACCATTTATAAATGTCAAATTAATTTGCAATTAGCTAGTTTTCTAATCTATTGTATTTTTCTTTTATATTAATTCTATGTTTTTAGAGTCTACACTGCTTTTTTGCAGTGTTTCTTTAATTCACATTTGTCCTTTCCTATTTCTTTTTTACTCTCCTTTTAGAGAAATATATTGTTACGAAATGTCCAGGTGCCATAAGAGAGCTTCTCCGTAAAGCAGGTTCAGGGTTGCAAGAAAATGGCAATGGAAGGCAGGGTTGCCATATTTGGCGAGAAATCACCCATTTGGAAACATAATTGGTGATATGCCATAGATGGATGGAGAACCTTCTGGAACAAATTCTTACTGGTTTAGCCAAGAATGTTCTTGAACAAAGCCAAAAGCTACATAAACCCTGCTGGTACGCGGAAGAGTTTGTCAGTGTCAAATCCATCGAGTTGATAGTCAGTCAGTGAGTGCCTAGTCGAGTCAGTTAACCACTTGCCTGATTATCCCGAGTTATCTCGGGTTCGTATATATATTGCAGTTAATTATTATCCCGCGAAAACGCGGCAAAGCAGAATTTGTTAGTACGATTTGTTTTATCACGGTTTTACTCGGCCTGGAGGAAATGAAAGGAAATATTCAGCTTTCATTGGCAGTTTGCTAAATTTTGTTGGTTGCGTGGTTCTTTTGAAGGGACTGGTCACGTGTTTCCCTATTGTATAGTATACATCGGCTTGTGGATTAGTAATGTATAAAGAAGGATAGATGCACTGAAAAAAATAAAATAATGGTGATGATGCAAGAAACCAATGATTTTTCAGATAGTGATTATGAAGAGGTGGAAAAATTCTTTTTAAAAAAATCAAATTCAACGAGACAGTGTGCTCTGTGCTCCCGTAAAAGAGATTCCAGCGGTAAGCCAGTAAGAAAAGAGACCAGATAACAGTGTAGAATGTCAGATGTCACTTTGCGTTGTTTCTTGTTTCAAAAACTATCATACAAAGACTAATATTTAACTTTTTTTTGTTTGCCCGAGATAATTCGGGATAGTAAACTAATATTAAAACTAAATGCTTTTACACCTTCAAAAATTTAAAAATTCAACTTAAAACTTACATATTTTGATTTGTTTCATTCTGTGGTATTTAATAATAAAATAAAAAAATTTGATGATTTTTTGCAATTTTTTTCAAAAAAATTTAGAAGGGAAGTGGTTAAGAGTCAGCAAGCATCATGTAGTCTACTGCCGAGCTGGTAATCGAGTGCACCGAGAGTCTCTTAAGTGTATCACGAGTTAGTGCATCGTTGAGTTTTATCTTGGAGTGTGTTGAGCTCCGGAAATGACTGATCCGAGTCAGGAACTGTACTCTACTGTATCGTCGAGTGCATCGCAAATTGTAGCGTGGACAGTCTCGAGAGTACGTAGAGTTCTGAGAATGACCCAGCAGAGTCGGGTGCTGTACTCTGGTACTTCGCCGTGAAGCTGTCTTCACTGTTATAGCCTGAAGGCTGTGTCATTGACTGTTTCAGCGTGTTTATAGTAAGGCTGAAAGGAAAGCCAGACTGGCCGAGATAAAAGCCAGGCGAGAAGAGATGAAAGCAGATCAAGAAGAAATAAAAGCCAGACAAGCAATCTACAAGAGCAACTGCAATGGATGGTAGTGAAGCAAAAGGAGATTAGAAGTGACATCGTGGAGTTTAGAAAGAAAATTGGAGCCAGAACAGAAGATGTGAAAATGACAGAAGTGGCATCTGAAGAATCAAAGGATGAAGAAATGAAGGAAGTAGCTGGTGAAGTGTCCGAAAAAGATAGAGAAATAAAGGATGAAACATCTTACGAGATTGAAGAAAGAGATCGAAAAGATGAAGAAAAAGACGGGAAAGACGCTTCTCATCCTCAGGTGTCTGAAGTTGAACTGGAAGAAAGATAATACTGGGCTTGTAAAGCTTCTGAAAGAGGTGAAGAAATATTTCATGGAAATAAAGTTCTAAATTCTCAAGTGCCTGAAATAGAGGTGGAAGAAAGTGAAAATGCGACTGTTAAGTTGGTAGAAACTAATAGTGAAGTTATGAAGTCACAGTTAGCAAGTATTGAACCATCTGAAAATTAATGTGATGCAGAGATGGGAGAAGCTAATATACAGCTTAAGCAGTGTTTGAGTATTGCTAGAAGATACAGCCATATTTCAAGCTACGTGTGTGCCTCATAATGCAATTTGTACGAACACAAACTTGATTCTAAACCAGGATACTTCTGTTTGTAAAGAATCGGATTTTATCCATAACTATAATGCCAAATTTGGAACTGCTTCCCACGAAATAGAGGTAAATAAGCATGTACCATCTGCTAAAAATACTGAGGTGAACTGTATACATGATATACATGATGCGAATAAACTACAGAGAGATGAATGAACTATTTTAGATCTTCCTGTGAATGGAAAGTCTGAAATGACTGAGTCTTCAGACTGTGATATGCAAAACAAAAATACACCTGAGAATTGCAGTGGAAGAGTATTTGACCCGGGTATAACTTAATGAAAAGACCGAGACTGAAATTCATTCTAAACTTTGATTTGTATAGTTTAAAATTGTCATGTGGTTAATTTGTGTATATAACTCATACATAGTGTAAATATTTGTTTCTTTAGTTATTTATTTGTTTTATTACGTTTTCTTTGTATCGAATTTGGCTTCTGACCAAGGGTTGCACAGCCCAGGAATGTGCAGTCCTTGTGGGGGGCAGTGTTATGAAATGTCCAGGAGTGGTAAGATAGCTTCCCCGTATAGCAGGTTCAAGGTTGCCAGAAATGGCGAAGGAAGACAGGGTTGCCACATTTGGTGAGAAATCGCCCATTTGGCAACAAAATTGGCGATATGCCATAGATGAATGGACAACCTTCTGGAACGAATTCTTACTGGTTTAGCCCAGAATGTTCTCGAACACAAGCCAAAAGCTATATAAACCCTGCTGGAACGCGGAGAGTTAGTGTCAAGTCCATGAAGTTGATAGTCAGCGAGTGCTTAGTCGAGTCAGTTAAGAGTCAGCAAGCGAGTGTCTCGTAGTCTAGTACCAAGTTGGCCATCGAGTGTATCGAGAGTCTCTTAGTGTATCGCAAGTTAGTGCATCGAGTTTTATCTTAGTGTTGTGCTCCGGGAATGACCGAATGAATGGGAGTTGTACTCTAGTGTATCATCGAGTGCATCGCAAGTTGTAAAGTGGAGAGTCTCGAGAGTACATAGAGTTCCGAGAACGACTGAGCAGGGTTTTTGCCATGAAGCTGTCTCCACTTTTATAGCCTGGAGGCTATGTGGCTGATTGTTTCAGCATGTTTAAAGTAGTTCTTTGACAACTGTAAAACATGAGTCTTGAATAATATTGGCTAATAAAGTGTGTTTTGATACTTCATCAAGTGCCATCATTATTCACTCCAAATTCATGAATCCGTACATGTAGAAAAACATGTAACAATATTTTCAAAAATTTACTTTCACACTATAATTTACAAAATTTATTACTTGAAAATAATTAGGAAAGTAATAATTTTTAAAGAATTTAATTATATTTTGTTAGCTACTGAAATATACAAGTCCATGATGTCACTGTCTGTTGAAAATTGTTCATTAATGTCACCATTTTAAATAAATAGTTGCTGTTGGTGACTTTTTTGTTTCAGGTTAGAATAACTGACATGAACTAGTATTTTCACATTCTTTTATCAATATTAAGAAAATATTGTTATATTACATTAAATTTAAATCATGACATCACACATATTAACCTGGAATGTCAAAAGTTTTTGTTTTCTGGTTTGGGGAATAAAAAAAATTATTTCTGAATTGGCTGCTGCTTGGAAAGAATGAACTAATTTCTTTCCCACTGAAATGTTTTTAGACATTTTCATTTCAGGTATACATAGAACTTGTATATTTTGCTTTGGCCACAACCCGCTGATTATTATTATTTGCAAAATGCAACACATATTAGTCAATACATCGGTCTATATTTATGGAGACGTAAAATCATTAGATATAATGTCTGAATTAATCAAACTTCCCTTCAGCTAGCAGTCTTCAAATGCATGATTCACTTTTAAAAGTGAATCATGGATTTGAAAATATTTGGTAATAAAAACATTACCTCGTACTGCAATAATGATAGAATGGTATGCAAAATCATGTGAAAGAGGTGTAAACTATTATTAGCCTTTTACCCTATGAACGGCATCACCGCTTATTCAGTCACAGGATATTTTGTCACTTGGTATATATTAGTTCAGAATGTAAAATATTTTACTTCTTTTCTTTCTTTAATGATGTAAATATCATCTATGGAAAGAAAGTTTATAGTCTGTGGAAGGAATAGAAGTTTATAAATGCTGCTTAAATACAGTTCTTTATGACCAGATCCCAAAAGCCATGCCTAAGAAACAGTACATAACTCATATTTAATATAAAGATATTTTATGCAGTTATGAAACATATTGTAATGAACTATCAAACAATACAAATTATATAATCATTATAACATGAAATGCCCAACATATGCAATAACTATCTTAAAAAATTAATAGCCATCATAACCTATGTAATAATGTAATAATCAAATGAACTATGTAACCATGAAAAATCTAATTGATGTGCTAACCTCCAGTAAAATAATCATCACAAAATCACCTATGTAATAATCAAATGAACTATGTAACCATGAAAAATCTAATTGATGTGCTAACCTCCAGTAAAATAATCATCACAAAATCACCTATGTAATAATGTAATAATCAAATGAACTATGTAACCATGAAAAATCTAATTGATGTGCTAACCTCTAGTAAAATAACCATCACAAAATAAAATGTCTAGAGATTTTCATGCACTAGAAAACGACACAAGCATAACATTTTGAATGCTGAATA